AGACTAAGCTACCACTTTTTACCCAGCAGGATGGCTGGACTAAAAATGCCAGGCACTAACAGGTTTTAAGGAGGACCAGGTCACATCAAAACTCTCATATGTTGCTGTTGTGAGTGTCCAATGGAATAGCCACTTTGTAAAACAACTTGGCTGAATTTGGCTGTTCCGTACAATGTTAAACAAAGTTAGCACATGTCCCAGCAACTTCACTCCTGGGTATATACTCAAGAGGAATGAAAACATATGTCCACATAAAAAACTTGGACGTGAATGTTCACAACAACATTATTCATAACAGCCAAAACCAGGAAGCAATTCAAATGTTTCCAGTAGACAAGTGGATAAGCAAAACACGGTACATTCACCCAATGAATATTATTCAGCCGTAAAAAGGAATGAAGTCGTGACTCATGCAACAGATGAGTCGTGGAAACATCCTGTGAGCAAGCCAGTCACAAAAACCTCTGCATATCTGATCCTACCTTTATATAAAATGTCCAGCACAGGCAAATCTGTGGAGCTAGAGAGTAGACTTGTGGTTTTCCTGGGAACAGGGGCAAGGAGTGCATGGAATGGGGGATGATATCAACAGGTGTAGGGATTCTTTTGGATGTCAATGTTCCAAAACTACACGGTGGGACACTGGGGATTTAGCTCAGCAGCACAGCGCCTCCCTGGCAAGTGCAAGGTTGTGAGTTCGATTCCCGGTACCGGAGAAAAAAACAAAACAAAACAAAAAAATGAGTGACATGAGAACATGCACATACACAAAATTACACGGTGGTAATAGTTACACTACTCTCAATATGCTGAAACCACTGAGTTATACAACTTCAATGGGTACATATTTATAGATAAATTAGATTTTGAAAAACTTATTACTTGAAAACAAAAACCACGACTTCTCTTTAGCTAATGCCACTTCTGTTTTTTACGTTTGGGATGTGCCAAAGCTCTGTCTTTTGCTGCAGCCTACTTCGTACCCACAGTCAGTTTTCCAGCTTTGCCACCCTCTCCCTTGACTCCAGGCCTAGGCACCTGGGCTGGCCATTTGGCCAGGCCACCTGCTGCCACCCCTCCCTAGGGCCCTCCCAGGTGTCCCTCTAGGCAGCAGGGATGCTCGAGTCCCAGCGCCCCCTTCCAGGAGAATTGTGCCGCAGGGAGGGGAAGCTGAGGGGAAGGGAAGAGGGAGGATGCGGAGAGGGAAGTTATATTACTGCGCACCCACTGCTTCCTGTTTCCTGACAAAGGCGTTTCCTCAGCCTCACAGCCACTGACAGTGTCAGCCTCCAGCATCCAAGAAAGTCTCCTCAGGTTCCGTCTGTGTCTCAAGCCAAAACCTGTAGTCTTTCAAGAAAATAGCCCCAAATGGAAACAAAGCTTTCATAAATGGGGAGGGGAAGAAGGGTATAAGGGAGGGGAGGGGAAGGAGAAACAAGGAAAAATGAAGATCTATTATGTACAGATACAAATTCTCTATGGTGAAAATGATCACTACGCATGACAAGTATGTGCTCATTTTAAAAATCAAATTTAAAAACAAATTTTAAAATACCTCCAAGTTTGTTTTTCTGCTCTTTAGCTCAGAAATGTCAAGATGTACATCTAGCCAAACAAACAAAAAAACCCACTTGTATACGGGGTGGTGATGGATGCTAGAATTCCACACACAAAGTGACTCATCAGGCACTATTATACTAGTCAAAGACTGGGTGCAGCTTAAATGTCCAACAGTACGCCATGCCCCAGGGAGGGAGCAATATTCACCCATGAAAAGAATTTAATGACCTGGGAAGATGCTTGCATCATACATTAGGTGAAAAAGAAAGAGCAGGTTATAAACTGGTGGGTAGATTGTAAACTGATCACTAATAAGTGGACGGTACACGGAAAAAGCTTCCGGAAAACAACACCAGAATGACACAATGGGTGTCTTTCTCATATCTTTCTTTAACTATGCCTCCCCACTCTCTTCACGGCTTTTCTTGGGAAAGTCACTGTTTACCTGCCTTGTTCAGTCACCCACATCCGCCTCCAGTCCTCGTCCAAGCTGCACGCTCCACCTGCAGTCAGCAGCCTCTTGCAGGTGCTCTGCCCGGCCGCTCGGCAGCTCCTGACATCCCACCCGTCCAGGAAGCTGCTCCTCACAGCCAGGAAGCAGGAAGCCTTGCTCATCCCCCGCCAGTGTGTACCTTGCTTGTGGGTACAAGAAAGTACCCTGGGCCTCTTGGCTGGCGTTGACCTTGAAGGATGTTTCTTGATGTGGTCCCGTATGATTCTGCACGTGGCCTCAGAGTCGCAACTTCCAAAAGAAGTTTTGAAGGAGAGAAGTGTTAAGACCACTTGTCTCATCACTGTGGCATGATGAGGATGATGATGAGGATGACATTTCAGCTTCCAAGTCCTAATTTGCCACAGCCGTGACTTCTGACCGTTTACAAATCATCCGGACCGCCATTAAGAAGTGAGCGACGGTGCTTTCGCTTCGCCTGGACCAGCGGCTTTTTGTAAGGGTATTAACTCTATGCCAACAGAAGCTTGGCCCGGAGGAAATAAATAGGAAAAAGTGCTGCAGACATAGCTCCCATGCATTTAGGTTGCTCATGAGTTGAAATCATACTGGAGACGCCTTCAGCGGAAAAATTTAGAAGGTCCGCAGACACCTAAGGGCCAAAGGACACCTGCTACCTAGTCGTAGAGCACTTGGGAAATGTGTGACCTCATCAGAGTAATAAACAAAGCCAGAGTGATTTTTCCTGCCAGACTTTCCGCTCTCCTTGACACCCACATGAAGCGTAACGATGAAAGCTCTGAGGACACCGCGGAGGGTCCTATGGTTCCTTCAGGAAAGGAGCGTGCCTCCTAACTCGTGGGAAGGTTTGGGCCGACTCCCCAGGCTGTGCAGGTATGAAACACAATGGAATCGGAGATCCAGACAAATGGACTATCCAGATGGCAACCTTGGATGTTTTTGAAACTGAGAAAACAAGATTTGGTGTGCCAGCCTTCCTTGTCCGCCTGGTACGCCAGCTGTCATCTCCAATAAGGTAAACAAACCACAGGCATAGTTTTCCTCCCCACAGAGCTGCACCCTTTTTCGTGATTAGGTCTGGGTACTGTTTGGCAATCAGCACTGAGCAGAATGGGGGTGGGGAGGCCTTTCTGCATTCCACCTTCTTTCACGTGTTTAAAATAGAAGAATAAGTAGGTGAGTGACCGCCATGTTTGTCGGCCCTTCTCCATTCCTGCCACCAAAATGCAGACTTTGCTCATGCTTCCCGGAGGCCGCCAGAGCTGATACTTCCCCTCAGTCCATCTGATGGTGAGGCTGGAGGTTCTGAGATTCCCACAGGAGATCCCGAGGAAGGTTCCTGCACCCTGCCCCTTCCATGCTGTGTGTTCTTGTGGAATGGGACACAAACTGAGGGAGAGATGGGAATGCTGAGGATGATGGAAGGGTCTCGGGGACCAGCGAGAGAAGACAGAGTGCGGAGATCAGACACAGCAGGAGAGAGGAACCTGAGAGGGGAACGTGGTGTTGTCATCGAGTTCCCTGTGGACTATCTTCCCCGTCTTTCAGGTCTTCAGTGAAACTTCTGTCTCTTGCTGGTGCGTTGTAGAGTTGAAGCTGTGTGCCTGGGGAGCTCATTCCTTCAGCGATATTTACTGAGTACTGAGTAGATAAGTTACACAAGGAAATGTTATCAGTGCCGAGGACAAAGTAGTGACAACACATCCCAAATGCACAGCAAGGTGGATGAACACACCAACTGGATGAATCTCCAAGGAACACCGCTGTGTGGGGAAAGCCCACCCCAGAAGGGTACTGTAATTGCACTTAAGCAACGTTTCTAAAATGACAAGGTTTTGCAAATGATGGTGAGAATGGGTCAGGGAGTTAGAGAAAGGTGAGTGTAATGATTAGAAAGCAACTTGAGGGATCCTTGGGCTGACGGAGCTTACGGTGTTGTTGATGGATCTTACTGTGATGGTGAATACAGGAAGCTACCTATTTTACACAGGTGAGAAAATTGCCAAGATTTCAACACATGCACATACAAAAGAGCACAAGTAAAACTGGGGAATCTGAACCAGCCTAGGGGGTGGCGTCACTGTCAAGATCCCGGTTGTGATACTGGACTCTATATAGTTTTGCACAATGTTACCACTGGGGAAACTGGGTAGAGTTGCCTTGGGATCTTCCTATACAATTTCTTTGACCTGCACGTACCTGTACCATTATCTCAGAGAGAATTTCAATTGAAAAACAAACAACTCTCTGGCCCAGTGGATCCTACATTGGAATGGAAGCTCAGCATGGTTTCATGGTGGTTGAGGGCAAAAGCCAAGGACACCCTGGATGCACCACCGCCAGAGATTTCTCCCATCCTGGAGACCCACTACTGAGTTTCCATCGGTGACCAGATGGGATTCAGACTTGGGGGAGTGGCAGGTGCAGAACAGGGGTGAAGCCTCACTCTCCACACCTCACAAGGTGGGCACTGGGACTTACCCAGGCTGCCTTTAGCTGTTTACATCATGATCCATTAGAGTAGACCAGAAAGGCGACACGCAGATGCCATGGCCTCCTGGTGACCGGATAGAAGCCCAGCTGGCTTGCTGCCAACTTCCGCCATCCCCGTAGCCACCTTGTGGGCGACCCTCCGTCTCCTTCCATTCTGCCCCGGTGCCCAGTCTGTCCTGGTGGTGCATACAGTTTGGAGAATCTCCTTTCCCCTCAGCACAGACATGGCTTGCTGCTGTGGACTTTAGAAACTAGCAAGAACTCTTCCTGCAGCCCTGGCCGAGAGCTCAGTCCGGGGCTGGCCCTCCGCCACACGGCTGCTGTGGTTGACGCCTAGCGTCACCGCCCTGGAGCCCTGCACCCATCAGTCCCAGTGATCTCGCTGACTGGGAGTCATCAAGGTCTGCAACGCTGTTTTATTGCCTTAGAAGAACTTCAGAGGGTGAAGCCATGTAAAAATAAAATAAGGTCTGAACAGACTTTAAACTTTTTATTCTTTTATATTACACCACGTCTTGCGTGGAATGATCACAAAGCAGCAAGCCTTCCTGGCCACATGGCTCACTAACAGGGCACGGCTGAGAAAGCTGGAACTCCACACCCAGGAGCGGGTCCGAAAGAAAGGAGGGAGGCAGAGGAGGAGAGGAGGAGAGGAGGAGGGAGGAGCAACGATCAATAGGTATCTGTCTTTTCTCCAGCATATTTGTGCAGCCTATTCCAAGAACGATGATATGTGATTGAATACAATTTCTGATTCATGACCAAGGTCTTCATAATAAAGGAAAAAGGCTTTCTTAGAAGTGTTAGAACTAAACAATAAATATTTGGCTTGCAAATAAGCCCTTTATGGTGTTTTGTGTTAGTGTTTTGGTTTTTTGAGACAGGGTGAACTGCTATGCAGTTCAGGCTGGACTTGAGCTCACTAGACATCTCAGGCTGGCTTCAAACTTGGAGCAATCTTCCGGGCTCAGCCAGCTGAGTGCTGAGGTTACGGGTGTACACCATCACGCCCAGCTCTCTGGCTAAAATGAAACGGAAGAAGAGATGCTAGCGATCTCTGTCTCCATGCTCCCACACGGCACCCACAAAGAGGACACATGAGAATGAAGTTTGGGACCCTCCACCAGTGGCAAGCTTAGTCCTGAGCGGCCTGCCAGGGGAGCCCAAGCCCGCCAGCTCCTTCAGGTCGGTGGGGCCCCTGGCAGTCTGAGGCCGGGTCCTGCTGTGCCTCAGAAGCGGCCCGCTTCCTTGCAGCCCAGTCCGACTCGGGGATGAACAAGCCATGGAGGTCCAGGTGCATCTCCACCGCAACAGAGGCACGAGCCAGTTCGGTGAAGCTCTTGGCATCCAGAATCAGCAGGAAAGGCAGCTTTTGGGGGTCAGTAGAGACAATGGCTGACAAGATAACTCCTTTAGGGGGAAAAAAAGAAACACTTCACTTTTCTCTTTCACGCCTGGAACCCGGGACCTCTCACATGGCAGGCTCTACCAAGTGCACCCCCAACCCTAAAGAGAGAGACACCTGGTAAAAGCTCAGCCTGAAACATCCCCCGCTGGACGGACACCTTTCTTAGCCGCTGCAGGGTGGCTGGGCACCTCTTGCACACACAGCGTGTGTGGCCTTGAGCGCTGTCTCCCTCTCGGAGTGCTCCCCTCATAAAATAACGGCAACAGCACTCCCTGCCCGCTGAATGCAGGGGAAGCGCGTGCCCAGCCGAATGGGGGAGCAGCTTCAGCAAGAGTCTGTGCCAAGCACCCCTCACTGTGGAGGTCACAGTGGCAGGGTCCCCACCTCAGTGTGCCAGGCCACATGCGTCGGGAAGACAAGGCCAGGTGGGAAGCCTCTCCCTGAGGCAGGCAGGCAGCCCGGCCTCGCCTGCAGATGTGTGCAGCCCTGTCACCGCTCAGGCGGGTGCATCCCCACACGCGATTCTTCTCACCCTCCTTAGCATCCCCAGGGCAAAGGCAGAGTCAGGTGACAAAGGGCATTTAGCCACGTGGAACCTAGGAAAGGGTGCTGGGCCACAGATACACAATTTCCAGTGGCTCCACAGAAGTCACTTGGACGTCTGGATCCAGCCACCATGGTGAAATTAAAGCCAACATTCCACATCATGGAGAATTTAGCGTCACTCTGTGGAAGGGACATGAGTGTTGTGCAATAAAGCATTTAACCTTGCCCAAAAAGAGGCCTGGCTTTGTCCCTGGGGGGTTCCCTCTAAGCCCTCCTGGAACGTCCTTGTATGCCTGGGGACCCCGGGCGTGGCAGAGGATTTTATCCTCACAACGTGGTCTATGGTGGGGCTGCCGGTCACATGGCACCAGCCCAACCCTGAGGGGCGGAAGACCAAAGGCCGCATGGGGGTGGGTCAGGCCCACACTGCTGAGCCTCAGTAACAGCCTGCACACCGAGGCTCTGGGAGATCCCGTGGCTTGGTGCCCCTTGGGAGCCAGGGCCCCCCATCCCTGTCACGTGGTCACGCTGTCTACGGCTCCCCCGGAAGAGGACAGCCAGTCTCCTCTGGACCCCGTAACCTTTCACTGCAACGAACCCTAACCCTAAGGCTAACAGCTTTCTGTGAGGTCCAAGCACCCTCCTAGTAATCACGCAACCTGGCGGGGTCCGGGGGCCGTGAACTTGTGACTGGTGTCAGAAGCAAAAGTGGTCATCAGCCAGACCCAGGCTTCAAAGAAGACCTCCTCCAGCTGTGCGTCTGGGTGGGGCTGGATGTCCCCAAATGATGCCTCTACTCTAGGGGTGGAAAGCAGACTGGCCTCCTTGGGGTCTTACCGTCGTCCTCATCCTTGGCATCCGGTGCGGGCACAAACAGGGGCTCTGCCGGCCAGCAGTTCTCTTCTCCCCATTTTAAGGATGACTTGGTGAGAATGTCGTACTTTAGTATCTGTATGTCCAAAGAGGGGAAATGAGGGAATCATGTGTTATAGCTTCCTGGGAACAGGAAGGCCTGAAGGCCCCACAGATGGGAGGTTTCATCCTCAGATCCAGACTTTTGACCCTTTTGAGCTTCCCTCCTCAGCCCTCTGCAGCTATGGCTATCCTGCAGCTGATATTATACCATGAAGTCTCAGAAAAATCCTGAATTTGTTTGGTGTTTAACACTACACTGAGATCGTATATGTTGAAAAAAAAAAAAAAGCCTAATGTGTTAAATGCCAATAGTTATAACACAATCTTCTTTGTTGGTTTTTGTTTTGTTTTGTTTTGTTTTTTGGTATCAGGAATTGTACTCAGGACCTTGCACCTGCCAGGTAGGTGCTGTGTTGCTAAGCTATATCCCCAGCTCAATTTTCTTTGTTGTTTTCAAAGTAGAAATTCAGCTGAGCATGGTGACCAAGGCCTCTAATCCCCGTATTCTAGAAGGCTGAGGCAGGAGGATCACAATTTTGAGCCCAGTTTGGGCAACTTAGGGAGACTGTGTCTCAAAATAAAGAAGGGCTGGGGACGCAGCTCACTGGAAGGTCCCGGGTTCAATCCCCAGGACTACAAAACAGACAGACAGACGAGTGAAAGTCCTGGGCCTCTCCTCAACTCCCGAAGGCCTATCCCATTTAAAGTGCGGGATTAGTGGGGAGTGGCTCAGGGTGTGTGTGCGAGCATGTGTGTGTGTTTCTGGGAACCTTAATTTTTGGCTTCATACATTTCTGCACTGTTTGCAATTTTTTAAAATACTAAATGATTGAAGAATCAAGTGCCCAAGGAAAAGTGATTTCTGTGTAGCATTTTGTAGTACTGGGGCGTAGTAAGTATTGGTAGAGAGCAGCTTAAAAAACAAAAATCCTGCAAGTTCCAGCTACACCCCTCCACTCTAGAGGGTGAGCAAGTTCCTTAAAGACAGGAACTGGGGGGGCTGGGGATTTAGCTCAGCGGCAAAAGTGCCTGCCTGGCAAGCGCAAGGTCATGAGTTCGGTTCCCGGTACCGGAGAAAAACCAAAAAAAAAAAAAAAAAAAAGACAGGAACTGGGGTCCCACGCTGACTTCCACATCCGCACTGACTTCCACATTCCACACCGTGGCACATAATAGGTGCTCAGTAATATGGATGGAATAAAAAAGTCAACACCTAAACTCCACCCATGACCTCACCCCCTGTGCCCCAGTCCCTTAGGTGCTGCTCCCACTCCTGGAGGGTCCAGCATTCCCACAGCCTTATCCTGAGATGACGTCCCTCTGCCCTCCTGCTTTCTGATCCAGGTCACCCAGTCTCAAGACCTGCAGATTCAGCTTTGTGGATGGGTACGATTACCCCGTCACTTGGGCACCCGCTACCTTTGTTGGGATTGGACTCCACTGAACCCCAGCAGCGAAGATGTATCTGTACGGCTTCCCGTTGTGAGCGTAATTGATCCGCGGGAGCTCCAGCCCTGGAGGGAATCGAGATGACACCGTGTCGTAGCTAAGGCTGGAGCATCTCCCTTCACGCCAGGCTGGCGTCCTTCCCACAGGAACGGTTCCCAGGCAAGATCCTGACCCTGATCCAGATCCCAGCTCACAGCCAAGGCGGGCAAAGGCTTGATCATGACCCTGGCTCTACCAGGTTCGGGAGCGAGGCAGAAGAGACCTGGGGTTCTCAGTACATAAGCATCTTTAATTACCCAAGATAGAAATCAAAGAGAGTCCACAAAGGATTTTAATAACATGTTCAAGGTGGTCCAAGAGAGTCCTCAGAACCGCGCTCAACACTAAGGGGTGCAGGGGCATGGGCTGCACAGGGACCTCCCCGGAGAGGGCCCATGGTTCTGTTCTTTGTTTTCTTTTTCTTTCTTTCTCTTTTTTCTTTCTTTCTTTGCCTTCCTGCCTTCCTTCCTTCCTTCTGTGGTACTGAGGGTTGAATTAAGCCCTTTGCACTGAACTACATCCCTAGCCCAATTTTTATTTTAAAATAGTGTCTCACTAAATTGCTAAATTGCCTACTCTGGACTCGAATTTGCAATCCTGCCTCAGCTTCCTAGAGTACTGGGATTACAGGGCTGCACCACCATGCCTGGTGGGTTTCTTTTCAATGGGGTCTCACTATACTGGCCTTGAACTCAAGGGATCTGCAGGCCAAAATGTGATGGGAAAGGTGCTTGTTTTCAGCTGTTTAGGGATCAAACTCAGGGCCTCATGCGTGCTGGGCAAGGGCTCTACCCCTGAGCTACACACCCAGCCCCGCCCAGAATGTGGATTTAAATCCAGAGCCCAGCTCCACCGGCTGTCTTGCTTGCCTGTTCCCTTTCAGGGTGGGGACACTTGTGGCTTCGAGTGGGCGGAAGCTGAGGATGCTGCTAGGAACGCTGTGGTGGCAGCAGGACAGCCCCCACCAAGAACTCTGGCGCAGGTTGAGAAGCCTCGCCCCCTCGGGCGTGGCTCCTGCCCTGGGGGGCGGGGTTGTGCACACCTAGCTCTATCTCTCTGCAGCCAGTGTCTTCTGGGTCTCTAACGCTCATTTCGTGAGCCTGCACAGTAAGTCCCAGCCCTTTGCAGATGGCACCTGTGAAAGTCCTCTGGTCCAAGGAACAGAGGTATTAGAAACTATCTGAAAGAGAAAGGTCCCCAAATGCTTTTCCTTGGGGGGGGGTCCCAAGAGCCTTTCCTCTGTGTCCCTTGTCTTGCAGTGGAGGGGGGTATTTTATAAAGATGCCCCTGGAGCCGCTATTAAAATCTCCCTGCCCAGATGCAGCGAGAGAGATGGATCGCACCTTCAGACAGCAATTCAGGCTGGCAGTAGACCCGGTCGTCCCTCTCCTTCCGGGCAGTTGCTGTTGTAGATGCCACTTTGATCAGATTGGAGCCCACTTCTGCATTCTGAAAAGAATCGGTGGGGAAAAAAAAAAAAAAAAGCATCACCCTGAGCAAATCCTCCCTTTAATGTGTATATGTAGAAAATGCTTTTAGCATACATCAGTTATTTAGCATACATCGTCTTGTCTGACCTCACATTAACTAGGAGAGGCAGCTATTTTATTGGTCTGATTCTTAGTCTGTTTTTTTTTTTTTTTTTTTTTTTTTTTTTTTTTTTTTACCGGGAACCAAACTCACGACCTTGCGCTTGCCAGGCAGGTGCTTTTGCCGCTGAGCTAAATCCCCAGCCCAGTCTGTTTTTTTTTTTTTTTGTTTTTTTTTTTTAATGAAGATTGGAAATTTAAAGTGATGCCCCCAAGGTCTCAGAGCTGGTGGGCAGTAGAACCAGGACTCCTAACCTCGGGGCTCTTTTGTCTCACTCTGCACTCCTATGTTCCTCCTAGGGAAAATGAAGGTGCTTATGAGACAAGTTCTCACTTTTACAGTCCTACCTGATTCACCTGTAAAAGGCTGCACCAGTCGTTAAAAGGGTGTTTTATGAAGAGTTTACAATAACATGAGAAATGCTTATGACATAACACAGATTAAAAGCATCAGAACAAATTACATGTGCAGTCTGAGCTCAACCATAAACACAAAATTACATCAAAAAGCCAGTGGGGGCCGGGCGTGGTGGTGCACGCCTGTAATCCCAGCACTCAGGAAGCTGAGGCAGGAGGATTGTTGCTAGTTCAAGGCCAGCCTGGGCTACAAAGTGAGCTCAGGCCCAGCCTGAACTGCATAGCGAGACCCTGTCTCAAAAAGACAAA